CCACAGTGTGGTCCCTGGCTGCTCTGTGTCAGTCACGAGTCAGATGCGGGCGCCCGTTGGTTTGAAGTTCCTACATTGTCAGTGTTCAGCTTCATGAATTTCCACACCCATATAGTAGCCATCCAGATGGGGTGGGAGCTTCTCCTGGTCCCCCACTTCCCAGAAGAAGGGGTGCGCTGCCCCGCTGGAGCGTTTATTTCGTACTCAGCGGGCAGCTGGGTATGAAACACAGGTGGGCTGTCCAGGAGGGTGAAGAGTGGCCGTCCCAGAGCCAGCTGAGTGCCCTTGGCAGTAGCTGACCAGCAGTCTGGCCGGGCTGAGCAGGAGTGTCACTGCAGGTCTAGGCTGGCGACCTGCGCATGTGCTTCCTTGTCGGCACACCCTGTGCTGCTTTGTCCCATTTCCTGCCCATTTTGGTTTTGAACTCCTCATGAGGAGGAGCCGAGCTTTGTCTTGAGCTGTGAGTGACCTGCAGATGCGTGGCACTGGCCGGCCCTCCGTGCTCTCTGGCTCCTGGCTCAGCATGTTCTGATCCCAGCAGATCTGTTGGCCATCTCGGCCTCATTCTTGCTGGCTGCTCTCCCGATGTGGGGACGGCGGGGGACCTTCTCCCTTTAGCTGTCCACTTGCAGCCTTGCCTCTGGCCCTCGTCTTCTTCCTGTGTGTCGAAGCTCTGTTAGACTCAGAGCTGGCTCTCGGGCTCTGCGTGAGCACAGCCTCCCAGCCGTCCTTCCACAGCGGGGAGGGAGCTGTTGCCCTTGGGTGTCAGACACACTTGGTCCTTGCCAGGAGTCTGAGGAAACGGTCGCGTCTGGGTATTCTGGTAGCTCTTTTTACCCTTAGAAGCCGCTGTGTTCCCATCTCTGTGTTGGGATTTCAGCACGGCACTTACTTGGCTCCATTCAGACCTTCCGACCTGGACCGGCCTTGAGCCTTGCGGAGTCAGCTCTGGACAGGACATCTCAGTGGCTGCCAACGCTCTGGCAAACCGTCTTGATGCCACGGGAATCTAGGTTGTCTAACCTCTAAGTTCCTTGTCAGGTGTTTTCCTTTTTCACTTTATCCATGAAGTCTTTTTCTGAACGGAAAAATGACCTAAGAGTAGAATGGGTTTTGGAGGTCTAAGAATGTCAAGGTCATGAGTCACTGTTTCTGGGCCACTAGCCTCTAGGAGCTGCTCTGGAGACACCTGTAGGTTTTGTAGCCACAGGTCTGCCCTCGATCGGTCTGCCCACGGTCGGTCTGCCCTCGGTCGGTCTGCCCTCGGTCGGTCTGTCCTCGGTCGGTCTGCCCTCGGTCGGTCTGCCCTCGGTCGGTCTGCCCACGGTCGGTCTGCCCACGGTCGGTCTGCCCTCGGTCGGTCTGCCCCGCTCGCTCGGTCTGCCACCGGTCGGTCTGCCCGCGATCGGTCTGCCCTCGGTCGGTCTGCCCACGGTCGGTCTGCCCACGGTCGGTCTGCCCACTGGTTTCTGCTGCTTTGTCCTCTGTTGTTGCTCCGCCCACTGGCATTTGGCTTTGGTGCCTGGGTTTGTGGTTCACCAGCATTCACCTGCAGAGGGCTGGGCCTGCCCTTGGCCAGGACCTTCAGCTGGGTCTCTTGCATCATCTCTT